CTACCGCGTACCATCCGGCTTTGGAATGTTTTATAAGCGCTATGTTATGTTTTTTGTCATACGAGATTTGCGCAGAGTACTTAATCGAGGCAGCAGTTTGGCTGTGCCCCCGGCATTAATGACGTCCATTGGTGAAAGTAAACATTCATCATCAGATCGGTCCTATCATCCACTGCCTACAAGGAAAATGAAAAGAAGATAATAGCGGCTGTTTTCTCTTTATAATCGGAACATATGACAGCTACACTACCGAAATAATTATACGCTCAGTATACGCCCTTATGAAACTAATTCTTAGAGGGGTTTTGATCCCTAAGTTGTCATGGCCTAAAGATTAAGACGCTCGGTGCATTTGTGTAGAGCGATACAAATGTGCCGGTGTTCGAATCCCGCAGGCGGGTACCAATTATTCTGAAGAAATACATAATTGACATATTTTGTACGAATGTCTTCCATAAATCCGCACTGGTGGTAACCAGATATTTACCTACTTCTTCGATGAAGCAATCTAACATATGCGCTCAATTAAAATATATTTTCATATGAAATTTTTTATTACACAAAATAGGTAATGTACTAGCGAAAGCGTTGCTGGTCTGTTGATAATGTCCACAAGTCCCAAGTCAGGTCGATGTGTGTCGGCTATGAGTAACTCGCCTATCAATATGAAGCAATAACATAAAAATATATAATGTCATTGATAAAACAACTAAAAAGTCATTTTAATGCGATAAGCCGTAAATAAACACAAGAATGTTGCCACGCGAATTATCAATGCTGTCGCCTAACGATTTAATGATTATAAGCTATATTTATTGAAAAAAAAACCGATTAATACATTTTATTGATACCGTTGACGTTATTCACGACTTCACTGCAATCGCTTTTCCGTTTTCCCGACGGATATAAAAATTTATTGATAACGTCGTATTTATGTTCAATATTTTTATGCACTTGGAACAAAATACGGCCGTCTGGTGTAGTGGTAAGTGACATGGTCATTACACAAGGGGGTCGCGGGTTCGAATCCCGCCAAGGGAAGGTATTTGTATGATAAATATAAATGTCTTTTCCAGGGTTATGGATGTATCTTAAATATATGTATGTGTATAATAAAAATCTTGCATTTATTTCCGTTATCTGGTACCTGTAACACAAGTTCTTTACGAACTTATTACGGGACCAGTTAACGTGGTGTGATTGTTAGTAAATATTTATTTATTATTATTATTAATATGTAAGTAAATAGACATTTTTATAAAATGAATATTTAAGGCAGTCTTTTTGGTCTTAATTTCAAGAATCGTCGCTTATATCGAGAGATACGACTGTTTCGGTCTCTAAATCAATCACCAATTCTACAAATGAGATACTTAATCAAACTTAACAGAAGGACTTGCACGATTGAAGGATAGTTAATGACGTGTAATATTTGTTTTATTGCCACTAGACAGGATAGCATATGATCCACCTGATGGTTGGTCATCGTTGCTTATGTAAATCAGCATTACAAAATCTCTGTATACCACTGATGGCCTCCTCAAACATGGTTTAATGAAGGTCATGTTAAAGTGTTCGGTAAGCACTATAGGGGGAAGTTCATTCCAAAGCTGGATGGTACGTGGCAAAATATATCTCTGGCAAAGCACCGTGGATACACGCAGTGGTTCTAGGTAATATGAATAAAATCTGCAGTGGTGGAGGGAGGTTCGATGGTAAAAAGGAGATAACTAGATCATCTCAAACAATTTCTCGACTAGACTTTTTTGCTGGTAGTAGAACGTCTTGTGAGTCCGTACAGGAAGGTACCACTACTCTATTTATTTCTGTTATGAAGCAGTAACGCGTTTTCGTTTGAAGGGTCAGGCAGCCGTTGTACTATAAAAACTGAGACCTTAGAACTCATATCTCAAGATTTACGATTTACGTTGTAAAACCGGATTAGCGTAGTATTGGACATGTGATTTTGGGACAGTTAACTTCTGTACTTTTCGATCCGGGAATTTTTTGATTTCCCAAATAAAACTTATTTGGCGTTCATCAAAAAATTTGGCGTCTCACTAAGTGAATTTGCACGCGACTTTATTGTTTAGTGTTCGTATTTATGTCTTAACTTTGGATTCGATTGTTAAATCCAAAATAAATAATGATGTATTAAAAAATGTATCGCGCAAAACCTAATCTGTGTAGATTTTAATAAATTTACGTTTTATCATTATTTAGTAAAGGGAAAGTAGTAAAAAACTTTACAAATAATTACTATTTGCATTCTTCAGTTTTCAAAATTTAGATAATACCAGTATAATAAATATGTTAATTTTGATATTCATTTTATTAAATCATTGTCGTTATTTATGTAAATAATTTCTCATTATTAATGTCTACTAAAATGATTATGTCATCGTCGCCTAAAGGATAAAAGTTCCGGTGCATTCGTATCAAGCGATTCAACTGTGCTGATGTTCGAATCCCGCAGGCAGATACCAATTTTCCTAATGAAATAATTAATTAACGAATGCTTACGATTGCCTTCCACGATGAAGGAATAACATCGTGTAATAAAGTCAAGCCCGCAAAATTATAATTTATGGTGGTAGGACCTCTTGTGAGTCCGCACGGGTAGGTACCACCGCCCTGCCTATTTCTGCCGTGAAGCAGTAATGCGTTTCGGTTTGAAGGGTGGGGCAGCCGTTGTAACTATTCAGAGATCTTAGAACATATATCTCAAGGTGGGCGGCGCATTTACGTTGTAGATGTTTATGGGTGCCAGTAACCACTTAACACCAGGTGGGCTGTGAGCCCGTCCACCAATCTAAGCAATAAATAAAAAAAGCCTTCTCCTGACAATTACGAAAAGAAGAATCGTTCGAGCCGTTTTTAAGAACCCAAATCGGTCGAGCCGTTTTTAAGTGATGCTCTATCATACACATCACCCATTGGTTTTAAGCTATTGCATAGCTTTTATCGCGGGCTTTGAGCGCGGCGACCTAATCAAGAAATTCCGTAACGAAAATAGAACCTAACACCCCTCACTCCGCCTACCATGTAGCTCACGTTCAACACATTCACACGTTGCGCTTGTGTAGTGTTTCTGAATAAGCGCGCGGCGTGACGTCGCACTATATGCGCATCAGGAAAAGTCTGCTCATCTCTCTCTCGCGCGGTCTAGCTTATGAGTGTGAAGAGGTCAGTTAATGTTTTGCTTTTGTTAATGTTTATAGTGTGGTTTTACATATTGTTTTCATATTATAATATTATTGTCTAATTATAATTGCATAAGTTGATAAAATATGCTATGCAATAGCTTTACCGCGGCAGTCCCCGAGTGCCACACGTGTTTTTTTTTAATTTAAATTTAAGTAGCTTAGCTGACGCAATAGTCGTTCGCCTGTCAATTTAGCAATGATAGGAGAATTTGAAACTGCACCTTATTCAACCCAATGGTGATCATTATGAAAAGTCAAAACATAACACATTATTTTTCATTTTCAAATCCAATCCAAATATAATCCAAATTTTTGGCTTTTCTCGTGGATTCCAAAGACAATTTCTCATCACAAATTTTTGATTTGAACGTTAAATTAATTACGTGCAGTATAGGTATGTACCTACCGAAATTAATAAATAAATTTTAATGACATAATTATAATAAAACAGTAGACGAACGTGTCGATAAACACCGTCCCACATTTCTGTGCTGATGATAAGTGATTTCATCATGTCCATGTATTTTATAATGATACAATCACGAATGCGTATGTACCTCGCGGGTCTACGAAGAGATATTAGATATTTTTGTACTACACTTATACTAGCTGTACCCGTCCGCTTCTCTGGGCATTTAAAATTAACATTATTATTTCTCACCCCCACAAAGGTTCTCATCATTAACGCCTCCGCAACTGGTGTGGAGAGTCCAACACACATATAAATATTAGCCTATCCATTAAGTACATGTATTTTCTACATGGATACCAAGTTTCAAGCCAATCGGATGCACGGTCCAGTAGTTATAACGGCACATCCGTAAAAACCACTGCAGATTTATATATTAGTATAGATTTATCAAAAGATATCAAAAGATACATTTATCTGATGAATTATAATTGAATTAGATACTGTAAAAACTGAGAATGGAACTCATATCTCAAGACGTGCAGTGGCATTGACGTGGTTTATGTCTATGGGCTTGTCCATCCGTCTTAGCAGAAAATAATTTAAAAAAGAGATGACACCACTTTTTTTTATTAAGACGTGCAGCAGACGTGTGCAGTTTTTATAAAGTTGTGATTATGTTATTTGTTAATGAACGAAGCGTTTTGAAATATACATTAAGTAGTAATTTATAAAAGCAAATAGAAACATCAGAACTGTGCTCTCTAAGTGCAATTTTAGCATAAATAATATAATATAATATCATATCATATCATAGTATTATATAATTATCATACTGCAACATAGTACAGATTTTGATCACATGTCTCGGGGGGCATATCACGTAGTATTAATATCGGTCCATTATTTTACACCAAAATATGTTTTGTGTTTTGAATTAAATTAATATGCTGTTTAATAAATTCATTTTTTAAATTATTTCATTATAATTATCACAGGCATAGGTAGGTCAAATTTATTAAGTTAGGTTAGGTAACATATTGTTATTACAACATCTCATTTAGTTTACGTGTTTAGTACAATAAAAAATAATTTCAGATAATGAATACGCAATTGACGCAATGAAGCAATTCTAATCTAGTGTGTGTGGATAAACACAGTTTTATTGTAGATATGTCTATTAATAAAAAATAAAAATAAATCCATTTAAATTAATTAAATTGATATTCATTAATGTTAATATAAATTTGCATTATAAGTGATTGTCGGGTTTTATTTAATATGAAAAATAAAAATTGCGTAGAAAACTTTCCCGCTCAAATTCAAATTAAAAATAAATTATCAACGCCACAGATTATCCAAAAAAAAAAGTAAATAAAACCTACCTATAGTTCGTGTATCGGGCACGTCCGTCACTGACAAACTGGAACTGACTAATTACGGGCAGAGCACTTGATATATCGTAGAGCTGTGCCATCGAGAGATAAGGTACTTGCAATCGACCTAGGGTCACAGCCGAAATGCACTGATAACAATCTCTTTGTTGTTGAAGTAGGTACTTTATTTTTATTGTACACTAGCGACCCGACTTCGCTTCGCTTCGTAAACTGTAATTTGTTATTGATTTCTCCACTATTTAATGGATATTATTATACATATAGACCTTCCTCTTCAATCACTCTATTTATTAAAAAAAAACCGCATCAAAATCCGTTGCGTAGTTTTAAAGATTTAAGCATACATAGGGATATAGGGACAGAGAAAGCGACTTTGTTTTATATTATGTTGTGAAGAATCTGAATGAAGAGCTTGGGGCCTTAGCAGTAACATCCAAAGGTCGCAGTTCACTGCCGTGTGTTGCGATTTTTTTTAATTCATTAGGGTCTTCAAATTAAGTTTTTATAAAAATTAACTTATTTATAGTCAATGACCTCCGAACCGTAGCCGGCTAGGTGGTTGAGGAGAACCGAAGACTGGGCTCAGTGATGTGGATTGGGAGAAGCCTATATCCAACAGTAGATGACTGTGTGATGATGATGATGATGACAGTCAATGATGATGATGATGATGATGAAAGTCAATGATGATGATGATGATGATGATGATAGACAACGTCACTTTAATGGCAATGTAACCAAAGCAAACAAATACTGGTGGTAGGACCTCTTGTAAGTTTGCACGGGTAGGTACCACCACCCCGTCTATTTCTGCTGAAGCAATAATGCGTTTCGGTTTGAAGGGTGGGGCAGCCGTTGTAACTATACTGAGACCATAGAACTTATAACTCAAGGTGGGTGGCGCATTTACGTTGTAGATGTCTATGGGCTCCAGTAACTACTTAACAACATGTGGGCTATGAGCTCGTCCACCAATCTAAGCAATTTTTTATTTTATTTTTTTATTAACGCAGGTTGTTACCATAGATAATGCAATCAATACACGGTCAGTCCAACAGTTCTCTTTATTCTGCAAAGTAGTGCATTTTTCTTTAATTTCCAATCTAAATATGTATCGAGTAGCGCGTAAACACTGATAATGATTACTCTAGAAGTTTCAATTCAGCTGTAATCTACGCAAGTATGTACAATATAAAATATCGAATAAATCAACTGTATAAATGAACCAAAAATATTTATCTTTCTTATTTTCTCCTATTGTACAAATGTATCTGCTTTTTGACTGTTTTTTGAATGTAAATTGTGTTTTGGTGTGTGATAAAATGTATTCTCTCTCTCTCTCTCTCTCTTTCTCGTTTTATTAACGTGAAATGTTAAAAAAAAAATGTTTTGTTTACATTGATAATTTAACAATAATAGGCATTTTAGAGATGATAACAAGCGTGTTTTTTAACTTCAATGAGCTACTTTGTTTTACAATCTCTGGGAGGTTTGAGGGGAGACCTCAAAAGTAGTCAGCGACTAGCTTATCCTTGACTTCGCTGATGTCCATGAGCAGCGATGACTATAGTAATAAAAAATCACATGGAATTTTCAAATATTCTTCATTGACGCAGCGTCTATCTTGAAATTGAATGAAAGTGAAAAAAAATATGTGTAATATTATAAATACTATAATACTTAAATAATACTTTTTCACTAGACAGTTTCTTGTCTTTAACCATGCCGGTGCTTCTGCTAACTGCCGTATAACGTTGAGAGAGCTAGTGTCATTCCGTCTAAGTATTTACGGGTTACGGGTATTTACTGGTGGTAGGACCTCATGTGAGACTGCACCCGCCTATTTCTGCCGTGAAGCAGTAATGCGTTTCGGTTCAAAGAGTGGGGTAGCCGTTGTAACTATACTGAGACCTTAGAACTTATATCTCGAGGTGGGTGGCGCATTTACGTTGTAGATGCCTATGGGCTCCAGTAACCACTTAACACCAGGTGGGCTGTGAGCTCGTCCACCCATCTAAGCAATAAAAAAAAGTTTATTAACTTTTCCGATTTGTAATAAATTATCTATTATTTATTTATTCAACTCTATGCACAAGAGTATATTACGGACTTAATCCTTAAGGCATTCTCTACCAGTCTCTTCCAGTGTGGTGTAAAAGTGAGATAATCTTATACCTTTAGATGAGCAATTCTTGTGTATTAATATACAGTCAAAATCTGTTATAACGACATCGAAGGGACTGCTCATATTCAGTCGTAAAAACCGATAGTCGTAACAACCGGTGATGCTTAATGTGTATCGTGCAAGTACAAACAAATCGATAGGGAATTATTGGACAAATATATTTATTTAATACGCGATTTTTCTTCAATATTAATTTGTTTTTTTTTTTTTTGCGACATTTGGAAAGTTTCACGAATAACTCCACAAAGTTTTGGTGCGTCTTGTGTATAGATAAGTAACAAACTAACTGAAGAGATATGAAGAAGCGGGCTTTGACTACCGCATGCACGTGTTTTGTTTCTAAGAATTAGAAAAGACCCTACACTAAACTAAATCCTATTGTTTTCTTTCCTGATTTTAAAAGCCATTGAAGACAAATGTGGATACCTATTCAAATTGTTTACAATACAGCTTAGCCGGTCGTTCTAACAGATCTAATTCTCCGAAATATTAGTTAAATGTGGTCGTTTTATGAGGTATGTCGTTATTACCAATGTCGTAGAAAGCAATATTTTTAATAAGGCGGTCATATGGCATTCAGCCGGGACCTTTGTTCTTGGTTATTATAACCGGCATGTTGTATTAAGCGATGTCGCAGTAAACGGTTTTGACTGTATATATAATCTGAATCTCGGAAACGCTCCAACGATTTTCATAAAATTTAGTATACAGGGGATTTCGGGGGCGATAAATCGATCTAGCTACAAATTATTTTCAGAAAATATTGTTTTAATCGTGTTTTCAACTTTATCGATTGACTCTTCCCGACATCTATTGGTGAATAATAATACTATTAAGCTATTTCAGCAGATGGCGTTGTTAAGCCACCCGAAGCCAATGAGTGTTTGGTTTAAGGTTAGACCAAGAAAATGAATTGCTTATTTATATTATTTGTGTCTTTTTCATATAAAATATAAAAAAAATACCCAGCAAAGCGCGGTCATCGTCTAGTATACACATTAAATAATAACAAAAAGGTGATTATAGAAAAGTGGAATCCATGAGTTTCTTGTCGACTCTTCTTAGCGGAACAACTGTATTTCGTTTCGGTTGTAAAGTAATGAATTAAAAGCTAAATAAAAATCAATCTATACATACAAATAAAATTAGAGTGTCTGTTTTTAATATTGAAATATCCGCTTTTTACTACATCCATATACATATATATATACGGTACATACACCAAAATAACATTTTTGACAATTTTTGTCTGTCTGTTTGTTCCGACTAATATCTGGAGCGACTGGACCGATTCTGATGAGACTTTCACTAATAGGTAGCTGATGATATAAGGAGTAACTTAGGCTACTTTTTAGACTAGCTTCGTCGCCCCGCGGCGTCACCCGCAGTTATTGTCGTACCGCGCGCAACATGGCGGGACTCGCCTATCAATAATACAATCTAATGTTTCCGAAGCGAAGCGAGGGCGGGTCGCTAGTTTTAATATAAAAAAAACTTGTAATTTGGTTTGATTAAATTATGAAAACAATCTGAAGTCTTCGTGCTGGCAAATTTAGGTTATTTATCAATAGTATATACTATTATATTGTTTTATATAGTATAATTTAACTCTGCCATTGCCGGTCTCAAACCCGGATGAGAAAAGAGGAGGGTTGGCGTCGGTATGCCACCTACCCGGCCGTAAAAATATAACGGCGGTGTTCAACTAACCCGAACTAGGGCTTCAGTAGTCCAGAGGAACTAAATCGCCTCTGTGATTCTGCTGTGGAAGGACGCGGGAACCCACCACTAGCAATTTTCCCAAGAAAACCTCTACGTATGTATTCCGTAAAGGTCACGATTCTCCGCACTGAAAAACACGACGCACGGAAGAGGATATTACAATTACAGATTCTTCTTTCATTGTATGGATAGGTGAAAGAGCCTATCTAATATTATGTGGTTCTTCTTCTCTGTCGTTTCCTCATTGCTGAGGGTCGTGACCACCTTGGTCCGAGGTTAGGGGAGTGAGTTAGATTATGTGGTTAGGGGAGGCTATAAACATTAAAACGTTAATGCCGTCGTCCAGCTTGAGACATGAGGTCGAAGAATTGTATTATATAACGGTTCTTCCACTTTTCCAATGACCTCTCGTGGCACTCTTCGCGGCAGAAATAAGCACGATGGTGGTACTTACACGTGCGAGCTTACAATGTCTCGCGGCACTCTTCGCGGCAGAAATAAGCACGATGGTGATTCTAACACGTGTGAGCTTACAATGTCTTGCGGCACTCTTCGCGGCAGAAATAAGCACGATTGTGGTACTTACACGTGCGAGCTTACAATGTCTCGCGGCACTCTTCGCGGCAGAAATAAGCACGATGGTGGTACTTACACGTGCGAGCTTGCAACAACCAATTCGAGCGTAAGTTTTACATAATAATATAACAAATGTACAGTATACACGAATTTTGAACGTGTTCACATGAAAGTGATTTCTGCTTAGCGAATATTCTTCTAGTAAATTGAAAATACTAATTGTATTCCTTAAATTTTATTTATTTTACGTACATACCTAGTTAAAATCAAAGTTACAGACAAAAACAAAATTGATTTATCAAAAGTATGTATTGTCATGTCATGCTGTGAATACCATTGTTAACAAATAAGATGACTGCCACAGTGGCGCAGTAGTTAGCGGCTTTGACTGTTGCGCTAAGGGTCGTAGGTTCGGTTCCAACATCGGGCAAACATTGTGTGATGTTGTAGCTCTTTGTACTTATTTTTTCTAATTATCTATATATTATATATTTATGTATGTCAGTCTCTGGTACCTATAGCACAGGGAATCCTAAATTGGGGCCGGA